TAACGGGAGCTGAATTCGGAAGCATCTGATGAACCATGGTTGGTTCAGGGCTTCCAACGTTCACCATTATGGGCTGAAACAGCTTCGTTTGCTCCATAGCTCCGTCTGCAGCTTCGGCTAGTTCGTCGAGACTGTAGGAATTGGTGGAAACGTTGAGTATGCTCTGTACGTAAGGCGGAAGCCGCTGGAGCCAGATCTGATGCAGTACAGAGTCGTCTAAAGTTGTGCTGCCTACCAACGCACACATCTGACGCAATAACTGGAACGGCTTGAGGTTTCCCAGTTGTATCCCAGATAGTAAGAGCTGAATGCGTTTCTCCTCAGAAATGGCCATACGACGGAGAAGTGCCTCTTTGAGCACGTCGTACGGGTTGTGCGCAGGGATATTCATGTAAATTTTCCTGAATTTCATGAGCATGTCCCGCGGGATCGCGGAAAATAGTTTATGGTAACGGGTCAGTTGTCCTGTGATGCGAGCTTCATGGATTCGCGATTTGAGAAGTGCGAGGAAAGCTTCCGGATCCCCCGGCATGAACTCCGGCGATTCACAAAACGGAGGACGGCTTGTACTGAACTGACCTGCAGAGCAAGATAGAAACAGGTTAGGTCAGGTCAGGTCAGGTGGCACAAAACGCTAAAGACTTTAGCCAACCGAGCGTCCAGATTCTTCTTCGATCCGGAACCACGTTCTTCCGGAGCTTCGACTTCTTGTCGACCGTTTGACCACAGCCGATTTCTTCGTTTGGAACAGCCTCCTCTATGGGGTCCGTATCTGAAATGGGAAGTTATTCGAGAATAGGCAGCATGGACCAGCTACGCTCAACAGTACACACTCTACCAAATCTGGGGATGGAGCTGAATCAGACCCCATCTAATTGCCTTTTGAACACCTCCACTGTCCTACAGTCTAGTAGTGAAGCTGGTAGTTGGTTCCACTCATCTATCACTTTACTTGTGAAGAAGTTGTGCCTAAGGTTTAGTCGGCTTCTGAGCTTCATAAGCTTCAGATGATGCCCCCTTGTTGACTCGAGCGGTGCTCGGGTAAATAGGCTGTCTGCCTCTAGCCCAGTCAGCCCCTCCATTATTTTGAAGGTCTCAATAATTTCACCTCCAGACGTCTCCTATCCGTGAGTAAAAGCCCCGGGGATTCTAAACTCTCCCTATATGACTTACTCCTCATCCCGGCGATCATCCTGGTAGCTAACCACTGAACCCTCTCAATGACAATGATATCCTGCTTCAAGTAAGACACCCAAGCCTGCACGCAGTATTCTAACTGCGGTCTAAATATGGCCTTATATAGAGGTAGGATGCTCTGCCTTCCTTGACGAAAAGGCAGCCTTAAGCTGCAACAATTGCCCCTCACTTTTTGTGCTGCAGCCAGGCATTGATCACTGGGCTTAAAATCCTCGCGGACCGAAATTCCCAGATCCAGCATTCGGTCTACGCGAGCGAAGACCGTCGGTTCAGTGGTGGTAGCTACGCAAACCGGAAGCCCCACGGTATTTAGAACGTGACACTTGACGACGGTTAGCTTCAAGTCCAACTTCTGTGTCCACCGAACTGCCTTAGCCAGATCACCCTCCCGTTGATCTTCAGGTCCTCAGTTCACTAGTTGTACGTCATCAGCAAAGATAAAGGCAGGAACCGCTAGCTCCTGGATCAAGTCATTTATAAACAGCATCGGGCCTAGCACTGAGCTCTGAGGCACTCCGCTGGATACGCTGCCAACGTTGGACAGAGCTTCTCCCACTCGAACTCTATATGTCCGGTTGGTGAGGAAAGCTTCTATCCATCTAATTAGAGCTGTTGGAAGACCAAAACCCCTAAGTTTTATTAGCAGGAGACGGTGATTTACCGAGTTGAAGCTTTCCTGATTTCCAGGTAGCACACTTCTACTTTCTGACCTCCATCTAACCACTTTGTAACTTCGTCTAAGAAACAAAGAAGGTTGCTCAGACACGATCTCCTTTTGAAAATGCCGTGCGGGCAGGGCTAATCAACCTATGTCCAGTGACGTGCTCACAGAGAGCATTTCTAACAGTGGTTTCTAAGCCCT